CCCAAGAAGAGCTCATTGTCCACTGTGACAAAAAGGTTGAGGGTGAATGCCAGGCCTTTCTGTTGCCTCGGGCTGCCCGATCAGACCACCCTGAACAGAAGTGGGCAGAGGCAGCAGTTGTGCCCCCTGCCCGCTGTGGGAGTTGTGGAGGCTGTGGCCGTGAGGGGTTGAGGGCCGTGGCCTCTTTTGGGGCTGCTCTCATCGTCTTCCCCTGCCTGTTATATGGAGCTTATGCCTTCCTGCCTTTTGATGCCCCCCGGCTGCCCACCATGAGTTCTCGACTTGTCTATACGCTCCGCTGTGGGGTCTTTGCCACCTTTCCCATAATTCTAGGTGAGTATTTATGGGGAAGGGAATGGGCATCCCAGGGGGACACTGGATGCTGGTGTTAAGGGTAGCTCTCCAAGGAGGGTGAACAAGCTTGACCTGGTACAGAGAAGGTAACAGTGTATGTGTTGGTGTGGAGTGGGGTGGGGTGGTGATGGCAATGTCTAGACATGGGAACTGGGCTCATCGAAATTCTGAAAGGGCCACAGAGATTTTGACTATTCCAACTTTCCCTTCCCCATGCATATCAGGCCTATCCCTCTTCCCATCCTAAACCCCCCTTTTCCTTATTCTGTGCCCTTTGACTACTCCGTTTAACACTTTCTCACCTCCTATTTCCACATTTAAGTGCCCATTCCACCCCAGCCTCCTCTGCATTTGGTGCCCGAGTACTCGTCTTACCTCATCCCCCCCAGCAGCCCTAGTCTTTCTTCCTCCTGCTTCCCTTTGATCCTTTCCCATTACTTTTCCCAGTCTCTCTCCTAGTCTGCTTTCCCTGTCCCCTTCATATCATGACCCCACTGTCTCTTAACCCAGGACTTCTGGTATACGGTCTCTCCCTGCTGTGCTTCTCTGCACTCCGTCCCTTTGGGGAGCAGCAGAGAGATGTTGAAATCCACAGGCAATACGTGGCTCAGTCCGTCCACCTCTTCATCCTCTATTTCTTCAACCTGGCTGTACTTGCCACTTACCTGCCCCAGGATACCCTCAAGCTGCTACCCTTGCTCACTGGCCTCTTCGCCATCTCTCGGTGAGTGGGGGGTGAACCGGGTATTTGTACAATCTACAGAAAGGTTGGCAAAGGGGAGGGGAAGACCTAGATGATTCTAATCATTAGAAAGTTCTTCCTTGTAGCAGTCTCTGGAGCAATTGCAAATGAATTTATTGCCTCTCTCATGTGCCAGCTCTAAAGATATAAAAACATGTCTTTTGTAAGTATTCTTTCTGGGAGAAATATCCCCATTGGGAAAATTCAACTGATGATTATGTAAGATGATTTGTAGACCTCATAACGTCCTGGTCATCCTTCTTTTGGCACATCCTAGTTTCTCAGTGTCCCCCATTTAAAAAAAAATGTCTGGAACTGCATACAATACACCAAGTGTGGTAGAACTCTCCCTTTTCCAGAACCCCATAATCTGTTAATGCAGCCTTAAAACACACTAGCTTTTCTGGCTGCCTGTCCTTCTGGTGACTCACATTGAGCTCATAGTCAAGTAAAAGTCCCAGATATTCATCACATGAACTGGTGTTAAGCCAAGTTTCTTTTAATCCCCATCTTCTACTTTTATAGACTTTTTTTTTTAAACCCAAATGTAGAACTTTACATTTGTCCTCATTGAATCTTAAGTTCCAGCCTTTTAAGCTCTTTTTGAACCTCCATTGAACTATCCAATGTAATAACTATCTTCCTGTTGTTCAGTCATGTCTGGCTCTTTGTGACCCTGTGGACCATACTGTCCATGGGGCTTTCTTGGCAAAGATACTGGAGTGGTTTGCCATTTCCTTCTCCACTGGATTAAGTAACTTGGCAAGAGTCACACAGCTAGTAAGTGTATGAGATCAGATTTGAACTCAAGTCTTTCTGACTCCAGGTCCAGTGCTCTATCCACTGAGCCACCTAGCTGCCTCCTAACCATTTTCTTAGATCCCTTCAATACTACCTAATTTGTATTATCCAGGATGTCCCAGAAGTCTTAGTGCATTTTTTTAAAAACTCAAAACTACACTAAGACTTCTGGGACACCCTGGACAACTTATGCAGTGCTCTAATATTGGCCAATTCCACTTCATTAAAGGTTAATTTGACATATAGGTTGTCTTTGCTTTCAGTCCCCTACCAACAATAATGTAGCATGCCATCTTTCATGCTTGAAGATGTCTGTATAGCTATAGCAGTAGGATCTATCTTCTGAGTTTTTCGAGGAATTGGGAAGAATTTATAGATCCCTCCTTTCACTTACCCAATCTTCCTTGTGAGTTAATGTCAATGTATTTACTCTCCAGTATGGGGTTGGTCCGAAATATATCACCTCTGCTCCTACTCCTTAAAATTTTTATACGTTAACCCTAACCCCCTACCACATTTATTTTATGGGGAATGGGGGTGGGACTGATTCTCACCCTGAAACTTTGGTCTCTTCCCTGACCCTATCTCTCTAGTGGAGTGCCTCTGTAATCTACCCTTGGCCCTCCTGAAAATGTGGAACAAGAGCCAATGACGTAAATACTTAAATCCAAGGATGAGCTAAACCTCCCAGGTTTTTTTCAGTTAAACTGGGAGGTCTTGTTAACATGTTGGCTAAAAGATCTTGAGGGGCTTCACATATAACAAGGTAAAACTTAATAAGAGATAAAATAATCCTACACTTGAATTATTAAAAAAAAAAAAATCAACTGTGCAAATACAGGATGGGGCGGCTAGGCAACAGTTCACACAGAAAAGACCTGGAACTTTTAGTGGACTGCAAGCTCTACACTAGCTGCCAAAAGATAATGTGTTCTTGGGCTGCATCAATAAAAAACTTCGTGCCCAGAATGAGGAACGTGATCCCTCTGCTGTACTCTGCCCTGCTTAGGTGGCACATGCAGTATTATGTTCAGTTTTGGATGCCACATCTTAGGAAGGATAATGTCAAGCTGAATTGAGTCTAGAGCAGGATGATTAAGAATGGTGAGAGAACTGAAAACCAGGCCATTTAAGGGACTGGGGATGCTTAACCTGGATAAGAGAAGATAAAGGAGACGTGATAGCTGTCTGCAAATATTTGAAGGGCTGTCATGTGGAAGAAAGGTTAGGCTTGTTTTATTCTGAAGGCTCCAACGAGAACTAGGCAGAGAGGCAGATTTAGGCTTTATCCAGGGTGTCCTAAAAAGTCTTAGTGCAGTTTTAAGTCAGTAGCTTAATCCTTTCGAGACATCCTGTATAATGAAAAAACTTCCAAAAGTTAAACAGGCTGCTTCAGAAGTTAGTGGATTCTTTCTCATTAAAGGTATGCAAGCAGAGTAGAATCCCTTCCAATTCTGAGATTTTCTGATTTCCTCTCCTAGGCTGGTGTACTGGTTGACTTTTGCAGTGGGCCGGTCCTTCCGAGGCTTTGGCTATGGCCTGACCTTCCTGCCGCTACTCTCCATGCTGGTGTGGAATCTTTACTACATGTTCCTGGTGGAGCCTGAGCGTATGTTCACTGCCACAGACAGCCGACTTGACTACCCGGACCACGCACGAGCTGCTGACTACAAGCCACACCCCTGGGGGTGATACCTGCTTCTGCCTGTTCTTGATGTTCTCCCATTTCCCCCCAAACCCCAGGAAACTGAGATGATCCAGAACTCTTCACTGAATGGATTTTGGATATACCATCTCTGCCCTTTGACTTCCCAGATTGTGACCTTTGCACTAGTTGCTTTTGAACCTCGCCAATCCTTTACTCTGATGTTGGGGTGGGTGATGGGAGGAGGGGGCAGGGAACAGAGGTAGCAGAGGTCTTACACTGCCTTAGGCAACTTCATCCTAAAGCCTCTTGAAGCCTATTACTGCCTTGATTTTTCTGTAGCACTACTGGGAGGGATTCCTGCCTCCTAGAGAGGAGGGAATAGAATTAGGGGAAAGCAAGATCCCTGTCTTTATGAGGTCTTAACTGACTTAAGAGAAAACCTGTGGAATAACTTAATAAATCATTTTGAAACAAGGTTGTGGTTTAGTCATTTCAGTTGTGTCCAACTCTTCATGACCCCTTTTTGGGGGGTTTTCTTGGCAGAGATACTGGAGTAATTTGCCATTTCTTTCTCCAGATCATTTTACAGATGAGAAACTGAGGCAAAGAAGGTTAAGTGACCTGCCCAGGGTCACACAGTTAAGTGTCTGAGGCCAGATTTGAACTCATGAATAGGAGTCTTTCTGATTCCATGTCCAGCTTTCTATCCACTGGGCCCACCTAGCTGTCCAAAACAAACAAGAGGAGGGGCTCTCAAAGCTGACAGAAGTTTTCTCATCAGGACCTGAGAAGGGCAAGTCTTAACTTTGGGCTTCCCTTAAACATCCCTTTAGTGACCTTTATATCTTAGCTGGAAGAAACATGTCATAACCTCTCAGTCTCATTTTCCTCACTTGTAAGATGAGAGCCTTAGACTCCATGACCTCCAAGGGCCGTCCCAGCCCTAAACCTATGATCCTAAATGAAGTCCAAATGGTTCTGATTTCACTGCTTTGGCTGGGTTGCCATCTTCCCCCTCCTAACCTGGGCTGCCATAGTGACCCACTTATCTATCTATGCATGGTAAAGGTAGCCTTGTCCCCAAAGCGAGATGTGGCAATGAAAGGCTGAGGTACTGATGTGTGTATGTGTGGGGAGGAGAAGGGGACAGGGAGGGTTAGGTGTTTTAAGATTCTGGTCCCTTTGTAAAAAAACAACGTTGGAAAGAGGGAATTGCGAGGGCGTAGATCACCATGTTATTTCTCTGTGGCTTCCTTTTTAAAGAAGCCTACTTGCTCAGTTCAATTTATCAGAAAACTTTGATGCACAGCACTCACGTCTGTGTGTTTGGGGCACGGAACCTCCAATGGTAAAGGGGAGAATTAATGTCTTCTGGAAGTGTTCATCCACGAGAGGCTTTTTCCCTCACCCACCTCTATCCCTCTCCCTCAACATACACCAAGAGACTCTACAACATGTTGAAAAAATAAGTATATATTTCATCTTCACCCTTCTAGGAACCGAAAGATTGGGGGTTAAGCTTCTCAATGCTTTGATCCTGGTATAAATCTCACACTCCCAACACAAATACTAGAAAAGAATGGGGAGGGGGGAAGTGATTCAAGAAGGCCAATATTAGGCTAGAAGTTAGGTGCCCCATCCTCTTTCATCATTAACTGGTTCTCCTGCTGTCCCCTTGCCCAGGGGAGACCTGAAGAAACTGAGGCTGAAGACCAGGGCCCAGAAACAGAGGAAGGGGAGGCATGATGTCCTCTCTTCCTTATTCCAAGGTGTATCCTTGTTTTCACCCTCGTGTGGTATTAGGAGAAGGATCTGGAAAGGCACCTGGGGGAGGTCAGGACCTCAGCTGATTGGTTCATACTCTGAGTATCGCCTATGTCGTAATAGCAGAAGGCTCAGGCCACCTCCTACCAGCAGAAGCGCAGGGGCCCCCAGAACCACTACCATGATTCCTAGGACCAGAGGTGAGAAGGAATCCACTGGGGGGCTTCCTACGCCCAAGAGAGCCGACCTAGGAGATGGGAAAGAAGGAAAAGAGAAAGAAAGTTTTGGGTTTATCCTTTGTTCCTACATCAACCCCCATACCTTCCCTTCACTACCCACCTGCCCAATTGAGAATTCTCTTTCCCTCCCCTAGGTTCCACCTCTCACCAACTGAGGTAGCGCTGGTTCTCATAGGCAGGACCAGTAGAGTCTCCAAATGTCAGGTTGAAAGTGCAGAAGTTAGCGGAGGAGCCAAAGAAAGCTCTGACAATAGATGATTGGGGAAGTAGGGTAGCCAAGGTGGGGCCAGGAGGGGATACTTGGCAGGGTAGGGCTGTTTTCCAATCTGGTTGCTTCTTTGAGAAGGCTACTGGCCGCCACTGTAGGAAGCCTTCTGGTGAGGAATGCCACAGTAGTTGATCCAGCTGAAGGGAAAGAGCACAGATCTGAAAAGGGACTCCTGACATTTACTCCTCTAAAATCTCCCCACTCCATACCTCCATGCATCCCCTTTGAACTACTCTCCCCTAAGTACTTATCAGTAGGGCAACAGGTAGAGAATTAATATGTGACATTTATAGAGCATTTTAAGGTTTTAGAAAGTGCTTTACATACACTATCTCATTTGATAGAAAGATGTCTCTGCAATGTTTAAAAAACTGTTGATTCACTGATGCATTGTTGGTGGAGTTGTGAAGTGATCCAACCATTTTGGAGAGCAATTTGGAATTGTGCCCAAAGGGCTATGAAAATGTGCATGCCCGATGACCCAGCAATAGCACTTCTAGGGCTGTGTCCTGGAGAGATCATACAAATGGGAAAGGGACCCACATGTACAAAAATATTTATAGCAGCTCTTTTTGTGGTGGCAAAGAAATGGAAATTGAGACGATACCCATCAATTGTGGAATGGCTGAACAAGCTGTGGTATACGAATGTAATGCAATGCTATTGTGCTGTGGGAAATGATGAACAGGCTGACTTCAGAAAAACCTGGAAAGACTTGTATGGTCTGTTGCTGAGTCAAGTGAGCAGAACCAAGAGAGCATTGTACACAGTAACAGCCACGTTGTGTGATGACTAATATTGATGGACTTAGCCCTTTTCAGCAATGCAGGGATCTAGGACATCTCCAAAGGCCTCATGATGGAAAATGCTATCCACAAAGAAGAGAGAACTGTGGAGTTGGAATTCGGACTGAAGCATTACTGTTTGCTATGTTTTTTTCTTCTGTTGTGTTTTGTTTCCTCTGGTGGTTCCTCCTATTGCAACACCACTAATGTGAAAATACATTTGGTGCGAATATATATGTATAGCCTATATCAGATTTCGAGCTGTCTTGAGGAGGGAGGTGGGGAGGGAGGGGGAAAGGAATTTGAAACTCAAAAGCTTATGGAAGTCATTGTTGATAATTCAAAATAAATTAATTTTTTAAAAAAATGACCTAATAAAAAAATATAAAACTGTTGATTACTCTCTCCCTTTGTCTACTCTCTCCTCTCTGGATTTTCATGACTATGCTATAAGCTGTGTGATCTGAAGCAAGTCATTTAAATCTCTCTGAGATGAAGTTTCCTTATTGGTTTATTAAATGAAGATAACCCTCTGCCTAACCTCACAGTGCTTCTGTGAGGTCTGTGTGAAAGTGCTTTGTAAACTGCAAAGGGCTAGACAAGTTAGATAATCTATGATTCTATCATTCTAAAGTCGAGCTATTCCTTTCATTTTGCCTTTGGCAACCATCCCAGTAGGTTCCCATATCTCCATCCCCTCAAGGAAGCCTCACCTGGAAGACTGAAGGGCAATATTCATCATCAATGGAGTCCTGCTCCTTCAGCAGGGGACACTCTGAATTCAAAACTGGAGTTGCCACCTCCAGCCCAAAAAGGGAGTGGTTGCCTTGTGGGACAGCCCCAGACAGAACCAGTTCTAGCTGGGAGGTATCTGCCGTATGTAAGAGTCGAGGGAGATGGGCTGGATGACCAGAACCAGAGAAAGCACGAACCTGGGGTTGGGGAGGTCATGGGGGAGAGGGAAGGAGATTCAGTGAAAAAGAAGCTGAAAGGATGGGGCGAGGACAGAGACAAAGCACAAAGACTCCCTTTCTCCCCGCTCCCCCATCTCTAACCATATAGTGCTGCTGTCTACCTACTGAAGTCACTGATGGCAAGAAACCTCTCCCCCCACCTGGGTAGACAACTTTTAGTTCCTTTGCCCTTATTCCTCACCTTGAAAGCCAGGCTGCCATTGCTGAAGGCCCCCAAGGGATCCTTTGAAGGACGACCTTGGAATGTGGCACTCAGCATAGTGGGGTCTAGCGTGCTGTTGACATCATCCCAGGAGAAGTCAGCCAGCAGGTATGGTGGGTAAGGCTTTCCTGGGGACCCGTTCTTTACTTCTGAACTGTTGGTACTGTCAAACTCAAACAGCTGATAGAGAGGGAAAGGAATGGAGGCTGAGTTTTTTTGCCTGGGTCTTGCTCACTCCTAAATGACTATTGTCGGCCCTCCTAGCAATCAGCCCCTACCCTCCCACTGGGCATGCAACTAAAAAACTAGAAAAAGAACAAATTAAAAATCCCCAATTAAAAACTAAAATAGAAATCCTGAAAATTAAAGGAGAGATTAACAAAATTAAGAGTAAAATAAAGCTGCAATGAACTAATAAATAAAACCAGGAACTGGTTTTAAGGGGGGGGTGAAAACAATAAACTAAATTAAACCATTGGCTAATTTGAATAATAAAGAAGAAAACCAAATAATCTCTGATTCCAGATCTCCACCCCCCATCCCTGAGCCATCCCACCAATTTTTGGTTTATTTTCTCAAGCTGAAAGCTTTTCCCTCTATCTCCTCACCTTGGGGAAGATGAGGGCTGAGGAAAAGCGAACACTCTTAGCAGGAAGCACAGCCAGGCTCCCTTCAGGTTTTGGAGACAGCAGGCAGGTCCAGTTGACACTCAGGACACTATGAGGGGTATCCGTGGCCACAAAGAGCACGGCTGGGGGTCCCAGGCTGCTCCAGATGTAGTGAATTGTAGAGTTGACTCCCACGGCCCGGATGTGCAACAGGTTTTGCGAGGGGTCCGTGGGTCCTGGGATAACCTCCAAGGACACCTAGACCAAGGGGTCAGAGGTCAAGACAGCATTTAACTTATCTGATTTTGTGGTCAGAGCCACAGGAGGGAAAAGGATTGGGAGGAGGTACGGATACTAAGGACTTAATGAAGCAATGGTTGGGAAAGACACTGGGGGAAAAACCTAGGGGTTACTGGGAACGGTGGGGGACGGGGCAGGGAGGACACCTGGAGAGGGGGCAGAACACGGCTTTTCTGGAGGAGAGAAGTAAAGGGGACTCTAAGGGAAAGGGGCTGAGGCTATGGAGGGGTGGGGGATGGGAGCAAGAGGAAATGCTGAAACAGCTGGTAGGTCTAAACCCAACCCACCCCCGGAGAACCGAGAGCAGGAGGGGTGCGCTGGGCTGGCCGGCCCCTGGCACTGGGCAGCCTGCCCTTAATGGCGGAGTTGAGTGACGGCCGCCGGGGCAGGCACCCCTCAAGCTGCCCCGCTAGGTGCCCTCGCCAGCCCCTGCCCCTTTGTATCGATTCGTTCCCCACGCCCCCCAAATCTCCGCGCCCCCGGCGCCGCTCACCCGGCGGGTCTGGTCCCCGAGCAAGCCGGCGGGGGCTCGGAGCAGCACCAGGCACTGGAGGAGGAGCAGAGAGCGGCCGCGGGCAGGGCCCCCCCCGGGCCCGGGGCCTCTCCCCGAGCATGCCGCCGCAGCCCCGCAGCCCCGCAGCCCCGGCCGCCGCTCGGAGCTCGGCCGAAGTTAGGGGCATGTGACCGGCGCTGGCCGCCGCCGAGCCCTTTAAAGGGCGGAAGCCTCGGCTGCCTCTTAAAGGCGCCGCCCGTGTCCCCTCGCCTCCGTCCCTCGCAGAGGGACAGGGAAGTCTGGGGTTGGGGTGAAGCCTGCAACTCCTGCCTTTCGTGTTAGAACCCCAGGATGGCTAGAGAAACAGACCCACGCCCCAAATTTGATGCCTTGGAACTGAAGCTGGAAGGAATGAGCTTGTGCAAAGGCCGTAGCTGTTCAGTCGTTTTCCGTCCTTTCCTACTCTTCGTGACCCTATTTGGGGTTTTTTTGGCAAAGATACTAGAGTGCTTTACCATTTCCTTCTCCAGCTCATTCGACAGGAGAGGAAACTGAAGCAAACAGGGTCAAGTGACTTGCCCAGGGTCACACAGCTAGCACGTGTCTGAGGCTGGATTTGAACTCAGGTCTTCCTGACTCCAGGCCGGAGGAGTGCTCTATCCACTACCCACCCAGCTGGATAGAGGATGGGCAAAAACCAGGGAAGAAATGGGGGCCCTGAGGGGGCTTGCTGGACTCGCCTTAAATGATGTTTTATGGAACATTGAGTATTAGGTTCCTGTTGTGGTCAAGGGCACAGAATTCATCATCTTTCCCTCCAAATCCACCCCTCATTTTCTAACTTGCCCAGTTCTTTGGAGGGCATCACTCCCAACCTCTGAATCAGTCGAAGAGCATTTACGAAGCACCTGTATGTTCCAGGCCCTGTGCTGAGCAATGGGGGTGGGGGGTGGGGGTGAAATACAGAAAGAGGCAAAAGGCAGTCCCTGCCCTCAGGGAGCTCACAATCTAAAGGGGGAGACAATAAGCAAATGACTATGTACAAACAAGCTTTATACCAGATAAACAGGAAATAATTAGCAGAGGGAAGGCGCTAGAATTTAAGAGGGATTGGGGCAGGTTTCCTGTAGAAGGTGGGATTTCATTGCGGCTTGAAGGAAGACAGGAGGGAGACATGTGGAGGGAGAGGGTTCCAGGCAGAGAAAATGCCCACGGTGAGATGGAGTGCCAGTTCTTGGGTCACCTGATCAGTATTTGGCAAGAGATCAGGTGTAGATAGACTGGAAAAATATGGACGGGCTAGGTTATGAAGGGCTTTTTGAAAGCAGCGCTAAGGATTTTATACTTGACTTTGGAGGTGATAGGGAGCCACTGGAGTTTATTGAGCAGGGGAACAATATGGTCCAAAATGCTTTAAGAAAATCGCTTTGGTGGCAGAATGGAGGATGGATTGGAGTGGGGAGACATGTGAAGCAGACCGACCTACCAGCAGGCTATTGCAATAGTCCAGGTGTGAGGCGATGAGGGTCTGCACCAGGGTGGTGGCAGTGTCAGAGGAGAGAAGGTGGTGTATTCAAGAGATTTAGCCACAAAGGACAGAAGAGATTTAGAATGAGAGTTAGGAAGGATGGAAGGTTGAAGGGAAGGTTTTTTGAGGATGGGAAGGACATAAGCATATTTGTAGGCAGTAGGAAAGGAGCCAGTAGACAGGAAGGGAGTAAAGATAAGTGAGAATGGGGAATACTAAGAGGGGGCAATCTGTTGGTGGAAATGGGATGGAATGGGATCACTTTAGCATGCAAAGGGGTTAGCTTTGGCAAGGTGTAGGGCCACATTTTTGTGTGAGACAGGGATGAAGGAGGAGATAGTGGTAGAAGGCAAATCAGCGATATGAGGAAGTGGGGAAAAGAGAGAACTCTTAGGGACTTTTTTTCCTGTAAATTATGAAGCAAGATTCTCACCTGAGAGGGTGGAGGAAGGAGAAGCCCTGGGAGGTTTGAGAAGGCATGAAAAGCTTTGGAAGAGAGTGGAATAGGGCATTATCTGACCGTATATATTGGCTTTCCACCTTTCCTCTGCTTTCCCTTACCAAACCCCACTCTTTTCCCACAGATTTCCAGTCCCTGAGCCCTTAATTCTCTCCCAGGCCATCATCCCTGCACTAGCCACTCTCTCTTCTCCCCATCTTGACTCTTTGGTCAATCAGTTCAACTCTATACAGTCCCTGGCTCCCTTATCATACCCCTGATTGCACCCAAGCCAAAAATGACCTAGGATGATTCTTCTTTCACATATGATAGCTTAGATGGCCATTAAAGTCCCTTCCAACTCCTGAAATCCATGATGCTAATCTGTGATTTCCTTGGTAAAGAACACCAAAGCAGGTTAACTTCCTCTCTGCAACTTAAGAGTTGCTAAGAGCACACAGGGGTTAAATGACTTGCCCAGGGTCACATAGCCCATATATCAGAGACAAAACTTTATGATCCCTATTCTGCTTGGTTATAAGGCTGACTGTCTATCCACTATGGCATGCTGCCACTCTGTATAGGTTTATATTTAGTATTTGGCGTATTTACTTATCAAAGAAATCAAAGAGTCTCCCAGTAGAACCTCAGTTCCCTGAGGGCAGGGACTGTTCTTTATTCCTAGGGCCAGAGCAATACCTGGCACATAGTTGGCACTTTTAACAAATGCTTGTTGGTTATTAAGTCATAGGGAAGGGATACAAAGACTGGGAATCTGCACTGAAGGCAGGTAACTTGGGGTAGTGGTGAGAACACTGGTCTGAATCTAGATACGAGTCTTTACTCTGGTCTGGTGATCCGGGGGCAATGTAACCTCTCCACATCCCATCTTCTTCTGTAAAATGAGGATAATAATTCTTTTATTACCTGCTTTGAAGGGTTATGAGGAAAGTGCCTTGTGTGATTTATTATTAGGCCCTTGTGTATCTATTTCCCCAAATATGAGTTATTAGTCCTTTAGAGATAATATAAGGCAAGTCAAAAATATTGGAACTTCTTCCTGTGTAAAATGAACTAGATAAATTCTTAGGTTTCCTTCCACCTCTACATAGATCTCTACATAACTTACCAAATGTGCTATAGGAGAGGAAGATCATTTTCGGCTAGGAATTTTGATGTGGGAAATGGGAGAATGGATTTCAAAGGGGAGCAGGTTCAGAGGTGGGAAAACCAAGATATTTTGATGGAGGCCAATTTTAAGGATGTAGTATGCATATGCAATTAGAGGGTCATAAGGTTGAAAAGCTAGGTTGGAACCCGATTCTAATGGGGGAGAGGTCTTGAATGCCAGGTTGGCTTTATGTAGTATTTCATAGACAAGGGGGAAGCAGGAGGGTGAAGCCAAATTAAGATTAATCTGATGTTCATATGCAGAATGGTTTGGAGGAGGGTGTGACCGAAAGGAGGAAAGCCTGTTAGGCTTGTATAGTAGTCCTTGAGTAGAGCAGTAAGGACAGTAAGAATGGTAAGGATAGAAGAGGCAGATTTGAGAGATCTGAAGGAACCTACCCAGCTGCTCCTGTTTCCTTGGGGTCTCATGTAGACTTTTAACTTGTAGCCATGTTAGGTCTTAAGTGAAGGGGTAGAGAGAAAGGGAAATCTACTTTTCTAAGGTTTGGGTCCCTTTTCAAAAACTCTGAAGATACTGTTTTGAGAAATAATCCTCTTCTTTTCATGTAAAGACCTAAGTCCGGGGTAAATTTTTAACGACCCAAGAAAATAAATGTTTTTAGCAAAAGATAAACAGTCTTATTGAGGGGTCCCTAGAAGCCAAAGGGGACAAAAGGCTGTTAGGAGTTGAGAGTTGCCAGGAAAAGACGGGTGGGAGATGGGAGGGTCTCCACTTTTTACATTTCACCCCTCCCCCCAACCTCCACTTAGTACCTCTTAACTTTTCATGAACAAAGAAGTCTTACAGCTAGGGAGGAAAGACTAGGATGACTGGATTTGTGACTCATAGGGACAAAAGGGAAACTAGAAGGCCCAGCAGCCAAAAGGAAGTAACACAGGAAAAAAAAATCAAGGCTGACGACCATTAATTAGCTTCCCTTATTACCCTAGTTGGTCACAGAGATTTTTAATCAGTTAAAAATATAAACGATCAAAATAAGATTTAAAGTTGAGGATGGGTAATAACTGCAGAAAGGGAAAAAAATTATTCAACCCAAGGACTTATAAAACATGAGGTCTAGAGCAGGAATCAGGAGACCTGGGTCATAGCACTGGCTTCCTAACTTTCTAACTTTGAATAAAGCCACTTGAAACCCTAATTCCCTAATCTATGAAATGGGAAGGAGGATGTACTACAATCAGAGGTTCCCAAACTTATTTGGCCTACTGCCCCCTTTAAAAAAAAATTACTCAGCACCCCCCTGGAAATCTACTTTCTTTAACCCTTTAACTGTTTTTTTTTGAAATTCAAGTCATTTCAAACTACTACTGCCCCCTTAGGATTGTTTCAGCACCACCTGGGGGCTGTATCTCCCACTTTGGGAACCTATGCACTAGATGAACCTCACAAATTCCTGAGATAGCTAAGAATTCTTTAGTATCAGGAAATTAGTTTCCTCAAACTATCTTCATTTTCCTTTCATGGCCAGACATTAGTGTCCTTTCTAGTCACTGTCCTATAGGAATGAATAAAAAAGGCTAAAAGCAAGACAGAAGAATGTGACTGATTAAAAAAGGTCTGAGTTAGAAGATGCAGAGTGTAATGGTGATTAAGGAGGTTAAGGCTGACTTCCTCTTAATCGCAGAAAATTTCCTGGTGAAGGTTCTAAGGCAGCTATGAAGTGGAAGGTGGTAGGGAAAGATGTGCTGAGCTGGAAGCATAAGTAGACGTTTTAATTAGCTGAGACTCCTAAGTACTCGACTTTTACTCAAAGAGAGGTGAGAAGACCGAGCACATGTATCTTTTGCCAAACCTGTAGCACCCACCTCACTGAGTTGTGAGTATTAAATGATAGAATGTATATCAAGTACTTGCAAACATTAGTCATATAAATGTGAGTTATCATATCCAGCGATCAATCCCAGCCAAGGAATACTCATGTTTTGGTCAAGCTCCTTTAATTCTGACTTGAGGTACTGAATC